TGGGGCCAGGACCAGAATGGTCAAAAGAGCCAGGGGCCTAACGTGAGGGATGCCCAGAGCTGAGGGCCTGGGGTTTCTGACTGGCCTTGGAAGTGAGGCCAGGGCCTATGTGGCCAAAGGTCCCAGGGGGACCATGTCTGAGAAGTGAAAGAGTTCAGGGAGCTAGGCAGCCCAGAATGAGGGTGGAGTAGGCTGCCTGATTGGAGGGAATCTTGTTAGGGGTGTGGATTGGAGGATTCTGGGGCCCAGTGTGGGGCTAGTGACTATAAGAACAGTGGATGCCATCTGCAAGGCTTGGGCTGCAGTGTAGGGGAGGAACGGAACCACAGAGAGCGCCCCTTGGCATCAGGGCAGAAATGGGCAGCCTCCCGCCTAATTAATATCATAATTATATATCATCAAGGTGTGGCAGGAAAGAAGGCGGGCGATTGACCCAGAAACAGGTGCGTGGGCCAATGTCAGACTGGCCTCGAGGAGGCCCCCCTGTTACAAGAGCACTTTCTTGGTTTATGCAACCCCTTGGTACTGTGTTGTTCAGAAGTCAGTCAGAACCAAGCAATCTCACATAGGTCCACTTCACATGGTGTCTGGGTTCTGACTGGCCAACACTGCCTATCACAAACTCATGCAGGAGCCCACCAGTTCCAAACGGCTGTTGTGAGCACCTTTGACAGGTACAAGTCCTCACACTGCAAATGGCTCCCTGAATCTTCTAGTACAAAAACCTCCTACAGTGAAACTGCAAGGCCCTGGCAAGAACAGCGAGGCAACATAGCAGCAGAGGTAAATTTCGGTGGCAAAGCTTTTGAGTGCAGAAATAGTTCTGCTCTTTTCTTGGGCAACAGTCCCACCGACTAATTTTTCTCTGCCCTAAGAAGGATCATACATTTTCAGCTGGAGTCCATTTTATCTTAGATCAAGAAATCAAACAAGGTAAATTCCTTTAGAGACAGCTTTGTTTGTGTCTCTCCTGACTGGGTAGCATCCGCCTACATCAGAAAGCACAGTTCTTGTACGTTGAAGGATACAGGGGCAGGTATTTAAAGGCATGTGTGGGCCTAATGATCTAGGCAGACACATCAGCAGCACTAAGGGCACCTATACCTATCTTGGACATCTGCTCTGATGCATGATAATAAGCACGCACTGGAGCAGATTCAATTAATCGAGTGTGCTAATTAGCATGCTCCAGCCAACTCCACCCATGTATTCAGCATCCCTGTGCTTCAGAATAGCAGCGGGCAACTTTAAAGCTTGTTGAATGAACTCTAGTTAAGGCACCCCCACCATCATTTTGACGTGTGAGATGCTGAATACACGGAGCTGCTCTTGGAGCTGCTCTAATTAAAGCAACCTCCCCCCCCCAAACACATGTAAAGAGTCTGCAAGTGCCTATCTCCCACTGCAACAGGGGCTGTCATATTCTATGCCAGGGGTTCCCAACCCCCAGGCCGTAGCCCAGTACGGGGACACAAAGGGTTAGCTGTCAGTCCGCAGAAGGGTTGGCTGCTGGACCAGAACTGACTGCAAACCATGGACCGGCAAGCAGAGGACTGGAAGTAACCAGCAGACCGGCAGCCAACTCTTTTTTTATACAGAGTTGGCTGCCCGCCTGCAGTATGCCGGTTACTACTAGTCCACTGTTTTTCGGTCCACGGTCACTTCCAGTCTGCGGTTTGCCAGTCCTCAGCACAAAAAGTTTGGGAACCCCTGTTCTGTGCTGCGATATTTGCATTAATGTTTTGCCCAAGAAAGATATGGACCGAGCAGGCATTTAGCAAACAAAGCTAGGCTGGGATATTGTTTTTGAAACTTGTTTATGTCAATACTATAGCTTCCTTTTTAAGTTGTTTTGTTCTCTTGCTCATTCTCTTCTGTTTATAATAATATAAATTACTTTGTTTTCTTTCTATAAACTGGTCTGAGGCCTTTGTTAGGAAGAGTGGCATATGAATCCAATCCTGACCAATCCAAAGAGTTCAAGGCCTGGCCATTCTAGATGCAGTTAAATTTGCCCATAAGAATACAGCTCTGAATTAACAGAATTGCATTTTATGTAACAAAAGGGTACAGCAATATTAAAAGGTCCTTTATCTAGATTATTTGGAATTCTGTACCATCCTTGTCCCAGACTTTCTACTATGAGTGAGAGCTTGGAAGTTTTTTTAAACAAGCAGAAAATAAAACACTAGTAGGTTTAAAGCAAAATGGATTGGCAACTTTCTTTTCTCCTGGACTCCAACAAAAAGAAAAGAAGAGAAATTATTTGGATTAACAAAACAGCAGCGTTTAAAATGAGACAGTTTTAAAAATGAGACAGTTTAAAAGGTGGCAGATTTCTCATGGGGGGAGGCCTGATGGGGTAACAAACAGTCAGTCTTGTGAATATTTATGCTCTTAATGAAAATTAGCTAAAATTTTTAAAGTTACAATTTTCCAAAATCATGCAAAAAACTAAAGGAACTCTAGTGATTTGGAAAAAAGTTCTTGGCAAGCTTTCGGGCGCAATCACCCTTCTTTAGGCATAGGAAGTCCCTGCTGTTCTGAGATTCCAAAAACAGTCTCAGAACAGGATAAACTCCATATGCCTGAAGAAGGTTGACTAAGCCTGAAAGCTTGCCAAGAATTTTTTTCCAACTACTCAGTTGGTCTAATAAAAGAAATCACATCTACTCAAAGAACCTTGCCTGCCTAATGATTAATGGGGATTTAAATTGTGCGTGAATGCCACTGTATAGATCTAAAAAGGACAAGTTAGATACCAGGGTTGGAGCCAAAAACAGTTTCAAGATGAAAATTAATTTAAAGATGGATCCTTAACCCCAGAGAATTAATTTGGAGGGTCCTTAACCCCAGAGGAAGAGACTACACATTTTTTTTTCAATCCCTCACAATCCTTATTCTTCCTAATACAAATTTAACTGTTAAAGTGTCTCACACTTTTCTCTATATTATCTGATCCTGGCCACAGGCAGACACAGGATAACAGAAAAGATGAAACGGTGATCTTTTTTCCCCTGTTGTTATGGGAGAAATCATGCCTTTGGAACCCCAAGGCTAGAATACAGCTATAGGACTCATGCTGAGCCAGTTTGCAAGAGTATAAGCTCCAAAACCCTTTAGTCCAATACTTCTCAGTGCCTGCTGCTGTGCCTTGCAGGAGATACTGCGACTACTTATAGCAGAGGTCTCAAGGGCACAAAGTGCTGTCCGTCTGGCAACTGTTTTAAAACTGACTTAAACATCAAATCACCATATCTACAATGCAGTGGCAAATTTGCCATTCTTCCATCATAGGGCAGCATGTGGCTTCTCTCTCTTAAGAATCCATCCTCGCCTTTTTGCTGAGTATGCATGTTTGTCAGAACAGGATGTAACTTCTCTGATAAATGGACCTGCTTTGCACAATATGTCTCTTTACAAGAAAGCTCAAGGCTAGTTTAACCCTGAGGTTCTCTAAAAAGGTCACTTGTGTCAGCCTCAAGGCCTTCTAGAAACTGGCTCTGGGGATTGGGGGGAGGGAGGAGAGGAGAGCAGTGCTACTCTGGTCCCAGTCTTTACTGGGAAACCAATGAAACCAGACCCAGCTTCTTCCAGCAGCAGTCACTGCCGGGAGGTTGCAAGAGCACTGGAGGTGGGGTGCTCAGGCTATATGCAGCAGTACTGCTTCCCTTCCCGGCCTTTAGGTGTCCATAAGGGGACCGGTGCAGACTCTGGCGAAGCTACCAGCTCCCTGGTCTGTCCAAAAGCTTCAAACATGAGCATTCAAAGCACTTCCCTTGCTTGTTTCAACAGTGTTACTGTGCCCTGGGATCCCTGGCAAGCCATGCACTGTGAAGAGATCCAGACATGGTCTCATCATGCTAATCTGGATTGCACAAAAAGTTCTTTTCCCTTAATTATGCTAGTTTCAAATGGCAGCTTTCTTAGAAATCATCCATTTTGTGTGGGAACTGACAGAGGCTGAGCCAGTATAGGGGGCCAGGGGAAGGGAAGGGTCAAGAGATAAAAGACCAACTCATGCACTCTCTTGTCATGCTCATCCTGGTGATCTGGCAGGGTAAGGAGATGGTGGGAAAGACTGCCAGGGACTGTAGGAAGCTAATTGTGTGTGTGGTCTGTTGTACCCTGCCTTCCATTCAGCAGAAGTGCTGAGAACCATAAGTGCCTTGACCTTCCATTAACTTCAGTGACACACTGTTAGTCGTCTGCCCTCAAAGATTTCTTTGACGAACCCAGGCTTGGAGTAGGGGAGGAACAAGAACAAATGACGATCCTTGTTGCTTGCAGGAAGGGGGAGGAACCTTCCAAAGACCCCTGCTTGCTGGCAGCACTGGCTGTGCTACTCCCAAGCAAGAACAAGCCATGACAACATCTTTGGGTGCCCACAGAAGTAACAGTTATATTGTTTCCAAGCGCAAGGGGCTTGGGAATGTTTCAAACAGCATAGTTTGATTTTGCAGTACTTCGTTTGCTTTTGGAACATTTCAAAGGGCACATACAGCTGGGCTGTACAGCTGATTGTTTGAAGTGTTCCAATTGTTACTTGTGTGTCCACCCTGAGAACAATGCCAGTTATAACAAAAGCAGCATGGTCCATGCCCACCCTGTCAGGAAAGACACCAGATGGGAACAGTCGGGAGGTGACCCCTTCACACTATTCTGTAAATATCTGCCACCCCAAGAAAGAGCCCACAGGGCTTTCTCCTTGACCTGGCAATTCCCAGGACATCTTTGGGAACCCCAGGCTCTTGTGCATCAGCTACTATCAGCTACTAAGAAGGCAGGGGAAAGGGAAGACCCACAAGCGGAGGTCTCTCCCCGTGTTCTTTCAGGAGGAACAAAATGGGGCTAGGACTTTAAATGCATTAGATGTACAGCCAACACGTGTAACCTGCATCCACATGTTCTGCAAATGAGCCCATACAGGCCTCGTTAATAGCTCCCTGGCAACAGGGGACAGAAGGAAAATATCAACAAGCAAGCAGAGAGCAAGAGAAACCACATGAGAAGGAAGAAAAGACAATATTTGCAATACCTGAGTGGGTTTGGTAGGATAAGCCCTTCTCTTAACAGGCAGGGGGTTAGAGGTGCACTGATACATTGATCCCATATCGGATCAGCATTGATATAGGGAATATTGACAGTATTGGAAAACAGCCTTTTTTTCCTGATGTGGCTGATAATGTGGCTGATAAATGGCTCGTTCATGCACACAGCCAGGAGCACAGCCCGGCGGCTTGGAGAGCAGCATCAGGAGGTAAGTCTGATGTGGGGGAAAGGGGAAGGGGAGGGAAGGGATGTGGGGGGCAGATTGAGGCCCCCCGCAGTGGAAGGAGGGAGTGGGGCAGGGGCAGGGGCAGGGACTGAACAGCTGGGGCAGGGTGGGGTGCAGGACTGAGCTCCGAGTAGCTCATCCAGGGTGCACTGGTGGGGGAGGTTTTAGCAGTCATTTGACAACTTTCAGGTCAGGACACTTGAACACCACCACAAACAGTGGGATGAGCACAAATGCCACGTGCCCCTGGAGGCTGGGGAGGGCACAACGAGCTCCTGCAGGCAGTAGCAGAGGTGTTGGCGGTGGGAGCGTGGCGGCTGTAAGGAGGGAGCTCCCACAGGCAGCCATGGTACTGTCAGTGTGGGGGGTGGGGGTGAGCGCTACCCGGTGGTTGGCAACCACCCGCAGACACTGCTGGCCAGTGGCAATTGTGGACTGCCTGCAGACACCGCCGGTGGTGTTGGCAGTGGGGGGTGGTGGTGGCCAGTGGCGACTGCATGCAGGCGCCGCCAGCAGTGTTGGCAGTGCCTTTTCATAAGGGGTGCACCGCCACACTCAGGGGGTTCATGTGTACCCCCTACGTGTTGCCAATGGGGATGAGACTGATTCTCATCTCAAGTACTTCATAAGCAAACCAGCACCCTATCTAGCTGGGTATGAGCTCCCCTGCAACTTATGAATTGAACTAAACAGGACTTACTCTGGAGCTGGATGCTTTAATGCCACACTTTATAAGATTGGCTTACAGGGCAGTCCAAAATGTGAGTGTGGTGATACACCACAGACTGCTGACACCTCCTCACATGTGCAGCACACCCATGCATCCAGGATGAGGACCTAAAGTCCGTGGCCAGAGTATTATAAACAACAGTAAAGTAGCTGTGTGGCTCTGCCACATTAATGATGTGTAGAGCAGGGAATGAAGTATACGAGAGAAGAAGAAAGTCAGTACTAGGCATTCACACATCACATACTGTGCCCCAGTCAAGCAGCCAGTATTTCAAGCCACAAGTCTGAACTCACAGCCCCACCTCTATGCAAATTTCCTTAAGAACATTTCCATTATACTCAGTCTTAGTAACCTGGGAACTCAAGCCAGACCAGATGCCAGAGTTGTTTCAAAACAAAGCAGCCTCAGGGACTGTCTGCTCCATCTCTAGCACTGCAGGGTGCTAGCCTTACCTGCAGGATGGACTGGAGCCAAACTCCAGCAGATGCAGAGCAAACTTGAGAGATCACCAGGCAAAGTAAAGCTGTGTACCTGCAGGGACACCACACAACTAGGACAGGGCTTGGAGGACAGAACTGCCCCAGCCCCTACTGAAACAGTCATGCTGCAAGTGGGGTGGTGTCTCAACTGACTCACATTAGCAATCATTTTAGAGTTAGCTGTTGCAAAATAGAGATCATCACCCCACATTCCTGAAACAAAGAATAAGAAAGAGTTTTGTTAGTTTTTTTGGCTAGGGGGCTGAGGCACTTGACTGATGAGGAGAGGTGAGGGAACTGGGTTTACTGGGCGTGTCTACACATGCACTTTAGTGCACATTAGCCTATTTTAATGTGCATTAAAGCATCACAAAAACTCACCGTCTTTAGCTAATGCTCATTAAAATAGGCTAATGTGCATTTTCTAGTACCTCACAATGGAGGTACTAGATTGCATGTGCATTACCTAAAGCACATTAATTGAATATGTAGACATGCCCATGTAACCTGGAGATGAGAAGACTGAGGGGGGATTTAATAGCAGCCCTCAACTACCTGAAGGGTAGTTCCAAAGAGTACAGAGCTAGACTGTTCTCAGTGGTGGCAGACAATAGAATACGTTTCAAGTTGCAGCAAGGGAGGTTTAGGTTAGATATTAGGAAACAGTTTCTCACTAGAAGGATACTAAAGCACTGGAATAGGTTACCCAGAGAGGTGGTGGAATCTCCATCCTTGGAGGTTTTTAAGATGAAGCTAGACAAAGGCTTGGCTGGGATGATCTAGTTGGTGAAGGTCCTGCTTTGAGCAGGTGGCTGGACTAGATGACCTCCTGAGGTCCCTTCCAACCCTATTTTTCTATGATTCTATAATTTTTGAAAGGCACCCTGGGCACTGCAAACTTGAGGGATTTCAGTGTCAAAAGCTACAGGGAGATGCCACATGACAGCACTAGACAAAAGGTTAATGGAGGGGCTAGTTGCCTTAGTCACAGCTGGGGAAGTGTGCATCTATACTGGTAACAAGCCCATGCCTGAGTTTAGCAGCCAGTACTGCACACACAAAGTCCTTCCCCTTCCTCCTCTAGAATGCTTCTTTTTCTCAGAGATGCCTCGTCTGTGTGTGCTATGCTGTGAGCCTCGTCATAGTAAACATCTCTTGCTCTGTTATGCCAGGGAACAAACTAAGGGGTTTGCAGCAGAGCTGGTCAGCGAGTCTGGGTGTTAGAATGCAACTTGGGGTGTTCTCAGGAGCCTGCAAGCAACAACTGCTGTTAAAACTGCAGCCCAGGTAGGACAAGGCAATAAAATGAGAGGCTTCAGAGCTACAAGCTAGGGGAAGCTGGACAAGGAGTGAGGTGCTGAAAAAGGAAGGGATGGACAGGGAAGGGAGGAACCCAGAGCCACTGGCAGACCTGGGTTCCCCTTCAGAGGAGAAAGGGTACCCCTAAAAGGAAAGGCAAAGGACTTGTGAACCCCTATATGAAGCGAGGCCCAAGACTAGGCATGCAGCCTTCTTGGACTTGGGGCTAGATTTGAACTATTCCCCCAACAGGGGCAAGACAAACTCTATAGGAAGAAATATGCCTGGTTGACAGGACTGACATGATGACAACCACAGGAAGTTGTCAGCCATTTTTGTGTGTGTATTAGCAGTTGCAATAAAGCCCTTTTGAGGGTAAGAAGTCTCCCTGTCTTTTCCTGAGCTCTGTGATAGCACATTGATAAGCATAATAATAACTGGCATCTGTAGCATTACCAGGAAACACTCTAGTGGTATGTGGTCAGCACAATCTTGCACCCCCACCAAGGCAGGTAATCAACAGATTTTGTTCAACAGGCTTGCTAAAAGAAGCAATGAAACCATGCTGCTTCCTGCCAGGCCCTGTAACACATAGTACCTCTTACTGCATTACAACCCCCCCGCCCTTTTGGATTAAACACTACATGAGGAAGACCATGATTGCCATTCTGTCTCTTATTTATGGCTTTGAACTTGCTTCTGAGAATGCAGAGGCATCAAGTCATACCAAAACCATGCAAGGACAGTCAAAACCAAAATGAAAATGGTGTGAGTTAGATGGGAGAGCAAATGCCACTGGGAAAGGAGATGATGCTCCCTGGAAGATGGAAATACAAGTGAAGGAAAGTTGACAACCTAGGGTCACAATGTAACTTGAATTTGGCCTACAAGACATATGCACTAAACTGTACACACTGTAGTGTAGGGTGGGTGGGTAAGTGGGGTATGAGCTCCAGGCAGGGACATGCCAGAATGGAGTGGGGAGTGGCTCACCTTCCCATCCCCCCGCCCCTCCCTTTGCACCTCCCCTACAGCTGTAGGTCCCAGCTCCAGTGTGGAAGGCTGACCAGGAGCGTAAGTGTGACTGAGTGAGGCTTCAGTGAAGAGACTTCTGGGAATTGCAATGCCTGTGCTGGAGGGAGATGTCCCCTCAATTTTTTACTGCCAAAAACTGGTGATTTTTTTAGCATGTCAGTGCCAAAAAAAGAGGTGACACTTCCCCTGGGCACCAGTGAACACCTGTGCCACCACACTGATAACACTGCTCATTACACAGCATTGCTACCCACAGAGCTCAGAGTCCTGGGTGTTCAGCTTTGCACAAAATGCAAGTTCATTTTCAAAAGCCCTGGAGATTAGTTCGGCTGACACAAGCTATTGCATCACATCTGCACAAGCTGTTCCATCTTCTCACTGTATGAGCCCTGCTGCTCAGCAAGCAGCAATGAGAAACAGACACGCAAAGGAGCTGAACTCTGCCATGGTGGGGAAGGGAAGTCAGGGACTTTATTTCCTTAAGGCCTATTTTTCTGTAGTCCAACTGCTAAACCATGAAGAAAGGGAGAGAAGAAAGTTGGATGTGGCTGTGCAGAAAAGAAAGGATGCTGAAGATAGCCCTTGGCCACCAACCAGCCCCTCATTCTTTTTTTTTCAATAAAAACAAACAAATAACTTTAAACAGGCTTTGCATTACTGAACGATGCATGCCAAACCTCAATAGTGCAAATGGTCGTGACTATGCCAAAAATCACTCCCCTTTCTCTTTTAGTCTGTACATTGTGTAAATAGGATTGCAACACCCCAGCAGAGCCTCTTGCATGCATCTCCAAAGCACCCTGTCCTCTTTATTTATCATACCAAGAGCACAGTAGAAGCAAAAATCTCGGACAAGGGAGATGGATCGCAATTGAGTTTATTTGGTTTGGACAAGAGTCTGGGAAAGCTCTTGGTCTGCATGAGGCTAGAAACTAAAAAGTGGACATAATATCCTCCAGGGAAAACCTGTTTCTAACCCTTAGACAAAAGCTGTTTTCATAATGTAATTAAGCTACATAATCACAAGAGACAGAATGCTGGGACATAATTACTTAAGTCTACATAGAGGCCTAACAAAGCTTCCCAGTAGTTTTGCAAGGACAAGGTTTGGGGAATGCATTCTCCACAATCTCCTCTCCACTCCACACCCCCTTCCCTCTCCCCCAGTGCACTGTGTCTAGTTTGGGCACACTACGCTCTGGACAAATTGGAAAAAATAGGAAGAGAGCAACACAAGTGAACGGAAGTCTAGAAAAGCAGACAAAGAAAGGCTAAAAGAACAAGGGTTATTTAATGTGGAGAAATGGAGACTGTGGCGGGGGCGGATTTGATAGCAGTCTTCCAATACCTGAAAGGTGCTTACAATAAGGATGGTGACAGACTGTTTTCTGTGGCCTCAGTGGACAGGACAAAGGGTAAAAGTCTCAACTTGCAGCAAG